GAGATCTGTGTGCTCCTGAAGGCTGGACTGAATTACTTATAATCTGCTGAAATGTTTGTGGGGAAAGAGCGAGAGGCAACTTAGCCTCTTAAAGCAATCAAAATGTTGACACCAGCTGGGTGGTAGAAAGGGAAAGGTGCTAAGGGGTGGACACTAAGTAAAGCTTTTAACCTACGTACAGTGTGCTAGAAAGTTCTGGCTTAAAAAAATGGCCTCTGTATGTGTCCAGATAAGTAATTGTTAGCTGTAGAGGAACAAAACAACAAATTGACCCATTAACCATTAGTATTTCTAACACACTCCTCATTCTTTTATCTAGGTGTGGATCTTTGTGATTACTAGTTGAAAGTTTCCACATAGCTTCTTCCCCCCAGTAATGGTGACTGTCAACAGTATCCTCATGGGCACCATTCAATTTGTTTCCAAAAAAAAGCTTTGTATTACTTTTGGCAGCATCCAAAGATACCACAGAGACAAACTTTCACATTTGGTCACCTATGCCTTGTTTGTATTACACAGTGGGCTAGTGAGGCATGCAGAAGAAAGTACCACACTCGTTCATCTCTGCCAAGAAAAGAAAATGGATCACATCTGCTTGAAGGAATGCCCCACAGGACGTCATAAACCTAAGTGCAGATGCTAGAACAAGGGAGCTCAACCTTTGCCCGAATGAGAATGCATTAGCCCAGGGGTTGTCAACTGGGAGGGTACTTGAGAAGGCCCTAGGGGATACGTGCGGGTGGCCGGGGACGGAGTGCCACCATGCACCATCCTGCACTGCTGCGCAGGTGCTGCCCACCTGGCCAGATGTGGGGGGTGGGTGAAGCTTGCCCATGGCAGTTGCTGCCACTCTGAATTTTGGCTGTGTGTCACCCCTTCCTCCACCTCTCCCCACTCCACATCCAGCCATGTCCCCCCCACTCCGCATCCAGCTGCATGCCAACCCCCCGTCGCTACTGCTCCACATCCAGCTGCTGGGGGTACACTGCTCCATGTCTGGCTGCTGGGGATACACTGATCCAAAAAGGTTGAAAACTCCTGTATTAGTCGTTTAGGAAAATTGGGGCCATGTTTTATTTGTGTTCATTTGAGCAGCTGTGTTCATCAAGAGTTTGGCCAATAGAGGCTAATAGTGCAGCCAGTTATGCTCCAGTCAGAGGCTCAAAGGTCTTTAAAACAAAATCAAATATGGAAGGAACTATTGTAGTAAAGTTTGAGGACAACTTCAGGGCTGTTTGGCAAAAGTTCATGTGCCTCATTTGACCTATGGATAGGGTGACCATACATCCTGGTTTGGCCGGGACAGCCCCAGACTTTATAGGCTATCCCTGCATCCTGGCTGATTGGTGAAAATTGAAGCAGAAGTCACGAATTGGCATCACCCTGCCTGCACATGCCTGGTCCAGCTCCTCCTGAGCAGCAGCAGGAGGCTGGGGAGGGGGCAGACTGGACTGTGCACCTCTCCTGTTTGGGGCAGGGGTGGTCCCAGGGCAGGGCAAGCAGGGTTGGGGGTGCTGGGACCAAGGCTTGGGCAGTTGTACGGGGTGATTGGGATGTCTGGCTGCTGCTGGCAGCCTCATGTCTTGCCACTGCCAAGGCCCTGGCTGCAGTGTGGTGGCCCCAAGCAGCTGCTGGCAGCAGTAGGGAGGTGCTGTGTAGCTGCATAATACCAGTTGGCAGAGCCTGGGGGCATGTTGCACAGGGCTCACTCCCAGTCAGGTCCAGGCTCTGCACATGGGGAATGGAGCTTGGCTGTAGGCCTCTGCACTGTCCTGCTCCGCTATCAGGGCTCTTGGGAGCCATGGGGTTGGGGTTGTATGTGTGTGCATCTGCACAGGGAAGGGGGTATGGAGGCACTGATGGGGGAGGTGTGTGTGTGTGTGTGTGTGTGTGTGTGTGTTTGTCACAAGCCTTGGTGCACTGCAGCTTCTGCCCTCCCCTGTGCCAACCCCAGCCCTGGCACAGAGTGGTGTTGGAACTGCCCTTGGAGGAGTCTGTTGGTGCCCCCTGAGCCTGCAGCACCCTGTCCCCTCCTGTCCCCTGTGCAGCACATCTCAGGGAAGCGCCAACCCCTGCACTGTGGAGGCAGCCACCAAGCTGAGTGGCCCCAGGCTGCAGCACCTGCCCCTTCTCGTGGGGGCCAGGCATGCTTGACAGCTCTGCACAGCTCAGGGCTGGGCTGGGTCCTGGGCGGGTTCCTCGAGGGCAATCAAATCACAGCAGGGTGTCTACTGTCTCCTCTCCCCCACCCTGAGCCCCAGCCCAGTCCCCAAGCCATGACTTCAGCAGTGGCACATGCTCCTGCAAGTGGGGTTGCAAGCACAGCCTGAGACTGCTGTGCCCTCTGGGGCTGCACCAGGCTCAGTCCCTCTGGGGGGCTTCCACATGATTGCCTACACTAAACCCCCACCTCTTCTCCAGCCCTGCTCTGCTCCTTTCTGCCCGCTGGCCCATCTCCAGGACACCGATCATCATGGGGTGGGTGCTCTGCTGTCTACCCAATACTGTCCGCAGCAGAGAGGCTGAGCCCCAGGTGGCTGCTTTCTGGGCACAATCCGGACACACATACACACGCGCACACACACACACACACACACTCTCACTCTCCTGGCAGTGCCAACAGCTCCCTTCTGCATGCATGGCTTGCAAAGTGCTTTGGGATCCTTGCCTCTCCTCACATGTGTATGCCCGGCTCCCTCCACCCCCCCCAATCCTGGATTTCCTTACCCCTGTCCTGGATTTTCCTAAACACGTGGTCATCCTACCTATGGGCAGTACTTGGACCTAACTCCAAACTAGAAACACATAAGCAAGTGCAGGAAGACTTAATTCTCAAGCAAAATTAAACTTCTTTTATGTGTTGCCAGCACACAACTCTTATACACACTACCTGGAGGGACTAGGATTAGGACATACAGTCCTAATATGTTTTTCACCTGCCAAATATATGTATTTATACTCGGGATCTGAGTCACATGCTGGAGTCAATGTGTGAAAAAGTCCAGTTGTTTAGGGAAGGAAAAAAGACTATAGATGTACTGTCATAGTTATTATATAATATCATGGCCAAATCTTTACAGCTGGATACCATCAAACCAAAATTAAAAACTCATTGGAAGAAAAGGACAGTATTCGCACAGATTGCCTATAAATCTACAATAACTAGTTCTCCCTGGGTGTAACATCAAAAACATTTTTAGTGTCTCATTAGCAAGAAAATTTATTGCTCAACTGTTGAACTATGTCAATTTTTGAAAACATTGTGTGAATAATTCCAGAAAGCATGTGTTTGATTTGTATTAGTTTTGTGCCGCTGGATAGATAGAGTGGCTTTTTTCTTTCTGATGAAATGACACTAATCATGAAATTAAAGGGTGAAGCATGTCTACAGTTTTAAAGTAAGGTAAATTTTTATAAAAATGCTAATGGCCTCCCCCTTCAGTGAGCCAAACTAACATTAAGGAGCTCATATCCCATATGAGTTTGTTTTTTTAATAAGTGGCTGCATGGTGATTAGAAAGGAATAAAAGCTTTATTTTTCTTTTGTGCTGTTGTGTATTTTCCGGTTGTACTTGTTGGCTAGTTTTGCCATGTGAATAAATAGTCTGAAAAAGCCCCCCAAAGGAGGGTGGAGATTGAACAAAATTCAGTGAAGTACATGGAGGACCAGAGTGTGATGTGTCACAAGTATTGGCACTATCATGCATATATCGATAACAATAAATGGATAGTTTTGGAGCCTCTGAGAAGTAGGTTGCTGCCTATGAACGCCCATGCTCTCTGAACCAGTTATTCCCCAAAGTGCCACTGTGCCCTGCCTTGTGCCTGATGGAAATAAATATACCTAGATTGCATTAACACTTATGCTCTACACAGCATTTTCTACTACAATTTCCCTAAAAAATAGATAGGCTTGGATCTAATACCAGTCAACAGTATCAGCTGAACTGTACAACCTTTACTTTTGTTGGCTAGTATTTCTTCAGGCAAAATAGTCCTAAACCCTAGCTGAGCTACTGACTTTCATGTGACTACCTACATAAGTATTTACTAGCGCGTGACAGTCATTCTCCACAGAACACCAGCACAATCTTGAATATCCATTTAAGTCTTCCAAAAAAAGTTTCTAAATTTTAAAAGTTACAACTCACCCATTAGTTGTAGTATATAGCGTGTTACAACAACTACATGAGGAAGAAAAGCAAATACTGCCGCCATTTTACAGCTTCAAAAACTGAGCTAATCCAGGAGATGAGTTGCCCAGTATCTGAGAATTGCAAGACTGACTTCTTTTTTTTCTTTCAAGGAAAGGGTCTTCTTCCCATAATGTGGTTCAAGTCAAGGTGGAGTGGCAGTAATTAATGTGACATGACTTGTGCTAGACTCTGCCCCTTCCAGAGGTTGATGAACAACTCAACTGCAGCGAGGTGGTCAGTTATTCTGCAGGTTTGGGTCAGAAGTTCCCAAGGGAGAACCAGTGAATACAGCAGGGGCAGCTCCACCCTACACCCATCCAGCTGTACTGACCAATGAAGTGAGTGACCAATCCCCAGGCCATTTCAGTCCGGCTGGGTCCAGTGATTAGTACGCAAGTTTTGCCCATTATTTGGTGTATTTATTTAATTGATATCATTGCCCGTAACTTCTCTGTGTCAGCTATCAGGGGACATGATCATGACCTAGAGAACAGGCTCTGATACGAACAAGTTTTCCACTATTTCTGAATGAGAATAAGTACACGTTTATTATAGTCCCCATTACTGTAGAACTTTTAGGCAAAAGCTTTATGCTCAACTCTTGTTGCTTGAGAAATCCCTCTCTTCCAGTTCACGTGGGCGAGGTGAAGAAAAGAATTATCCTTCTTTAAGAGGAGAGGTGAGCTCCTGCCTTCAACAACATTTTCCAGAGCACCTCCCTCCCTGGCTTGTTAACACAGGCCTCTGAGAACGGCTCCACATGACACCAGCACAACTCCTCCACTCCCTTCCAGGCGTGCAGAAAAAAATCTCTCCTGAATGCTCACACATAATGAGAAGCTACAGCCCTGCCTCTGGCCTTCACTTCAATGAAAGGGCTTAAGTTTTATGCTTCCTCTGATGTGGTTCTCTGAAATTAAGCCACTCAATACCAGTGGCAGAGCGAGGAAAATCCAAAGGCTGCAGTATGGAGAGACAGGTATGTAGTGTGTAGTATCAACATAGGTATGCACCCTTTGTATGCATAATCGGGAGATCCTTGAAAGAGAGCCTACACACTCTCTCTCTCTCTCTCTCTCTCACACACACACACACACACACACACACACACACACGCATTTAATGGCATATGTAGAGATAATATATATTGTGTGTGTTAATATTATAATTAATATATATATTTTTAATTATATTATTAACACACACAATATATATTATCTCTACAACACACAATGTATATTATATCTACATATGCCATTAAATGCATATATATGAGATAATATATATTGTGTGTTAATATTAAAAAAAATATATATATATATAGTGTGTGTGTGTGTGTGTGTGTGTGTGTGTGTGTATGTACATGATTTGGTCAGTAGAGTTACATTCTATACTTGATGTTTATAGTATATAGCATATTATATTGGGGTTTCCAAACTGTGGTACGTGTAGCCCTGGGGGTACGCAAGACATCTCTGGGGTGTATGCGAGAGAAATTGTGTAATGTTAGATTTAATTTTCTTTATAATAACAATTAGCCTTTAAAGGGTTAAAATATAAAACATGCTGGTAGGGGTATGCAAGCAGCTGGTAAATCTGGAAGGGGGTACACAACATGAAAAAGGTTGGGACCCTCTCCATTAGATAATGGAAGGCAATGTGGTATAGGAGGACAGGGCATTGACTTTGAATTCAGGAAACCTAAATTCTATTCCTGGTTTTGCTATTCACCCATGGACTTGTCATTTCACCTCCATTCTCTTCTACCTTTTGCTAGGAACTAAGAATGGGAACTTGTTTGCAAATAATATTTAAATGTGATTAAATCAGCAATGAAAAAATGTCCTAGCAAAATAGCCTGCAACATGTATTCTCAGCCACAGGGTGGCATCTGGCAGATAGGCTTATGACAAATTGCTGCTGTTTCAATGAATTCAAATCCCGCTTTTGAAAACTTAGACTTAATTAGGAAATCTAGACCTCAAAGAATGCATTTTTGTTTTGCTTTACCTTGTGTTGTTTTTTAAATTGGGCAGAAGTAATAGGGTAGTCATTTATGGAGAGGAGATAGCCAGCCAGTACTAGAGATCTGATACTCATCCATTACAGTATGATAGCAAATGCATTAAAATTAATAGGAAATGTTATTACTAGGCAATGCTTAGCATCTAAATATCTTAGAGTTTTTCAGAGATTGGTAAATTAAGCATCATAACACATGCATAAATGAGGCAGCTCTCATTATGAATCCTATACAGATGGGCAAACTGGGGCAGAAATAACTGATTTTATTGAACTTATGCAGCAAGCTACTGACAATGCTTCTTGACTCTGTACCTTTTATCTTATAACCACTACCAAAGCATGCCTACTGAATGCTTATTTAGTGTTTATCCAAAATTTACTAGCGGTAAATAAAACAGTTGGAAAAACTTACTTGAAGTACAACAGAAGCATTCTTATAGCCATATGCAAATTTTAAAGCTGGATCAGTCCAGGAGTCTGTCTAGCCCAGTGCTGAGAACCAGGCGCTTTGGACAAAAGTGAAAGAAATGCCTTAGTTCCTATCCTTTGTCTCTGAATATAACTGTATTCTTAGTTTAGAAAATACACCCCTTCCTTCACACTCACACATCTGATTTTGTGACAGATGGCCTGAACTGACCATTGGTTGGGCCACTCACTTAATCAGATATAATCATTTTTAGAAATGGATGAAAAACATATAGATATTATGCTGAATCATTCTCACCATGTTCTTCATAAGTCACTTAGCTAGCTTTCGTAGTAAACGCTTTGGGGCAGAGGATCTTATCTTACATAGCACAATCCTGTTTGCTGCTAATCAATAATCGATTAATTAAGTCATAGGTAACACGCACTGGGGCATCTGCACAAGCGCTTTACTGGTGAGTTGACAAATTAGCTCTTCAGTAAAGCATCACCATCTACACGTGTGGTGCTATTGGGCTAGAGTAAACTAATTAACTCCTTGGTAGGATAGTGCTGCCTAACACAAGTACTATCCTACGGCAGAGTTATTTACTCCACCACAACGCATGTGTAGACAGCGACCAGGGTGGCTAGGGCATGAGGGTACTACAATATAGAGGCTGGTATGTTGAGCCGGGGTGGAGCAGCTCTGGGCTGGCAGGCTGGGAGCAATAAACTCTGGAGTGAACTGCACCGGAGTTTATTCAGGTGCACTAACTGCACGTGTAGAGGTGTCGACTGTAACCTAATTACGGTTTCACATATAATTTTTATAGGGACAGGTGAGGAAAAAATACAGCAAGACCAGTGACTAGAAACAGCTTGTTATTAAAGATGTCAGTAAAGTTTAGTATGAAATTTATTGCTGGGTTGTCGTGGCGACTTCTGGATACATTTCTTTATATTCTAATTATGATCTTCAGAGATCCAGAGAATAGCAATATCCTGGCATTCACAATCGGGGCAGGGGGGAGTCTACTATTTGGAGTTATTCGTGTTTGTTATTCTGAACGAAGGGGATTTAAAGAAAACCACTTAGACGTTCATGAGTATAATGAGGGGAGATACAAATGTGCCATGCAGGGCTGTAATGAGCACTGGATTAACCTTGGGATGGCATCAGTGGTGGTTTTCTTTCTCTACATCACAGCAGAGGTTGGGTTTGGGCCTGCAGACGGTGCAGTCAGGAAGGAGTCAACACATGATGAACAGGGCCTCCAGAGCACGCTGCAGTGTGTCACCTTTCCCCTCCCCACATGCCATGCATTAGTCCTCTAAGCTATTCTCTCCCCTTTCCTAAAAATCTCATCCCTCTGCTCCTGGAGACTGCTCTAAACTAGTGCTCACTGAGCTGACAGCCTCAGAGTCTGATGAAAACCTATTTTAGCTTCAGTACTGCACAGAAGGTTCACAGCATGGAATAATAATCCCTGCAAATAGTTCAAGTCCTAATAGGCTAAGTAACCCCTACGTTACCTTTTCTGTCTTGGCTCCCTGTGATTACAATTGCTTTACTGAAGCACTAACTAGACAGGTTTGTGGTGGAGGACAGTGCTCTTCACCACCCGAGTAAGAATTTATCTCAGCTGGCTGCCTCTCAAAACACAGTGTCACCTTCTCTCTCTGCCAGAAGATGGAGTGTAGACATTTTCACCATTATGGAATCTAAATCTTGCATCCTATTCACTTCTATTTCCACTCTTACTACACTTGGAGGGAGGGGGTTGGGAGGGTGGGGGGCGGAGGATTTATAGCCCTGGAAAACAAGGTCTTCTCATTTTGTTTAGGCTTCAGGAAACAACTGATTTATCCTAAAGACACTGGTTAGGGACAGACATTACACATATGCTGATTGAAGTGATCAGAAACTGGTTTAAACCTGTAACAGAACAGAAGTTCAGTGCAAATAAACCAGTTTCTAAATGGCTGAAATGGGTTTAAGGCAGTATCAGGCTTAACCGATTTGGGTCAAACCAGTTTATGCAATGTCTGTCCCAGACCCCTTCCTGGTTTAAGTTAAACCAGAGTCCCCCAGAATCCCAGATGCTTTGCAGCCCTGGGCTGGGCTGTCTTCTCCAGAGACCAGAGCTGGCCCTGCTCCTCAGCACTGCAGGCACAGTAGTATCTGCCTGGCTTTCCCCTGACCCCTCCCCCTGCTGCTCACTGCTCAAGTGGCGATTCCCCTCTCCCTCCCTCCTCTGTCCCACAGCATGGATCCTAGGCATGTGATATGCTAGCTAATGCTGAGAAGTGTCTGTGTGCATGTGTCTCCAAATTCATTGGGACAGGCAGACACAGCAGTGTCTACTTAAGGCTTTTTGGAGCTAGTCAACAGGTCAGCTGGTAATGTCCTTCTGTTCTTTCCTTGGAAAAAGCTGTTTAAGAGCTTGAACTAATGAAAGAGGCTTTTATTTTGTTGATGGGCTGTTAAATGCTGTGTTAGCCCCCTGCTGGCTCCCTTGCCTGTCAGGTTTGCAAACAGTATGAAGAAGCAGGGAGAGGGAGATTGAAAAGCTCAGTTTCATCAACAGATATATGTACTGCACCCCGCCCCCCTTTGCATCAGAGTGGTAGCTGGGGGCTGGCAACACTCCCGCCCTTTGAGCACGGAAAAGCCTCAGACAGTGCAGGCAGAGTGGGGGTTTACACCCCTCCCTCCTCAGAGCATCCTGCCAGGACCTGGCCATGCCCCCAGTCAGCTCAGCACTATAGAAGGTAAGGGAGGGCTGCTCTAGCACCCCCCAGCTTCTAGCCTGAGCCACTGCAGGCATGTGCCTGCATTTCCCCAGTCCTGAGTGAATGTCTGTTCAGTTGCAAACTGGTTTAACCTAGGCAGGCTAGACTAACCCACAAAGATTTAATCAATTCAGGCTCAGGCTTTTTCAATGTCTGTCCCTAGCCACTCTAAGGCCTGACACAGTAATTGGAGTATTCACAACCATACTGACCTGTCAGTCTCATTTGCCTAGTTGCTCTCACTTGGAGAGGCCTATTCTTGCACTAAAATTGTTTCTCCCACCGATTGCTATTGTTTATGACTAAGCTTCTAAGATTACCAACCTGATTGTCAGCAGATTCCAGGGACCATATACAACTCTTCCCAATACTGGTTCCTAAGGGTACTTTTTTTTTCTTTTTCATAGTCATACCTGCAGCATCTGTCCACTTGCATTTGAGTAGTGTTCTAGTCCAAAATGTCTGCCTGGAACTCAAGCAAATAAGTGGGAATTAGGCAGCACTTTCCGCTATCAAAATTTGACTGTGCTTCAAAATGCATTTATAGCTGCAATAGTCATTGTTTTTACAGAAGGTCTGTAACCTTGAAAAAAGAATACTGTCCTGAAGTAACAGCCCTTATAGAGAGAGAGGAAGAATAGGCATGCACAGACTGTAGTCACAGGGCATGAGACTGAATGTGGTATAAAGCTGCTTGCCAAAGACATCAGATAGTCATAAAACTGGAAGACATCATATATAAGGATGTTC